TAACTAACCAATAAAAATAAAAATAAATATTGTTCAATAAAATATACTATATGAAGTATTCAATAAAAATAAACTAAAAAATTGTCTAATAATATATAATAAATAAAATTAACTATAACAATATCATGTGCAATAAAAAAGTCTTTATTTGCTGTCAAATAAAATTTTTATACAATTCCCTTTAAAGATCAATTATATTACATTGTGTTGTCTTATAAATATAGAAAAATGGGTACTGATATGATTAGAGATGACGCAGCAAGTATGTGATGCTTATTTGTCACTCATTGCAACATGTTGCAACTCCAAAATTTTATAAGTCGCAACTAGTTGCAACTAGATAATGCTTTATTTGTCATCATGTTGCAACAGTTGCCACGTCATCTTTAGATGTGATACTATAAAATACAAAATAATTTAATTAATTTATATCAAGTGATCAATTTTTACAAGAAAAAAAGTTAAATTCATCAACAGTACCAGTGCAATCATGTCACAATCACAAATTCCAGCAATTGGCAATGAATTCCCAATAGTCAAAAGTTTCAAGAAAGCTGTACAACAAGATGTTAAGGCAGCTGGCTTCACTTTTAGTATATCATCATCAAAAATGTCACGTGTTGGCAAAGTCAATCACACTCTTTTTGTTACCTTGCAGTGCATAATGAGAGGTGAATATAGAAATAATCACAAGATTACTGAAAAAAAATTCACAAAATATCAAAATTATCTTGTCATTTTACGGACTGTTTTGAATGAGAATATTAATGTTTGGATGGTATAATCTTTCAAAACTCAGCACAACTATGAACTTCTTTTTTTATCACAAGTTCACTATCTTTATCAATATCAGCTTCTCAATACAAAACAAAAAGAGCTAATTCACATGATGCTCAGAAGTAGGCATTAACTAAATCAATCACTAATACAGTATACTAGAAGCATGATACTGTATATACAAAAGATATTATTAATGAATGTGGCTGAATTAGAAATGCTCTGAATGAAAACTTTAACCACAACATCACCGTACAGCTTTTGCAAATGTTGGAGAAACATCAGTATGTAGTTCATCATACATTATCAAAAGATGATCATATACAAAATCTGTTCTTTACATATATTAAAGCTGCGCGTCAAATGACTATATGTTCAGAGATGCTTATGGTGGATACAACATACAAGACAAACTTATACAAGCTTTTTCTCATCAACATTGTTGGTATTAGCAACATTGACAATGTTAAAGTTCTTAATACATATCAAATTGCAATGGCATGGATAGCAAACAAATAGAAATACACATATAAATGATTTCTATATACCTTGAAAAAAACAATTTATGACACTTTCTTTTGTTCTCCAGAAGTATTTGTTTTAGACAGAGATTAGGCTCTTCGAAAAGCGGCAAATAGCATTTTTCTAAAAGTGAAAAAAATGCTCTGCATTTGACATATACTTGCACAAAACTTATGAACTGCGTGCTGAAAGTTTTTTGATTCTGATAAAGATTATGATAAATTTTTGTTATTGATTCAACAAGTTGCTTATACTGAGAAAATGAGTATAGTTGAAAAAGCGTTCAATGATATGATGAAAAGTAGAGATTCTAATTATATTCAAAATTATCTCAAGGAATAAAAAAAGATACAAAAGGTTGGATACATGTTCACACAAAAAATTATCTGCATATGGGGATCTGGTTAATGCAGCGAATGAAGAAAAGCCATAGCAGTTTAAAGAAGGTAATAGAGGTAGCAAGTGGCTTAGAGCAGATGTTCTCACACATTGATCATGTCTTTCACTAGCAACAACTACAAATGAATGGAACTTTTGGTTTGAATATTGTTTCTGTTAATCTATTCATATTGTCATAATATAATATTTAATGAACAATTTTATTGGATAAGAAATATATTAATTATTATTGGATTATATTTATTAATATTTCTATTGGATAGTTATTATTTTATTGAATAATTATATGTTAGATATTATTGATTCTTAGGTTTGTGTTAATACCAGCAATAACAGCAACAATAGCAATGATAGCAATGACATCAATACTTGTATTAATGACAATAATGATATCAACACTCGTATTAACACCAGAAATACTGATAACACTCATATTTAATTAATTTAACAACAACAACAATAGAATCAGTTATATCATATAACATGTAATTTATATAAATATATTGTTACCATTTGATATTTTAGATCACATGTAAAATATCATGTGATATATTTTGATAATCATTTATATTTCCTTTTATATTT